CCAAACTCACCTACCATGCAGATTATTTGCTCAGAAAAACGAACACAAGTCCTAACCTGGGCTCAACTTTGATGCTCTTCAGAAAGAGGAAGAGCTCTGAACCACATTAAAGGCCTTTACTTAGCCTGTCTTCTCTTCCACACTTTCTAAAGTGATTGGAAGTGGGTAAAAATAAGCAATGTCACACAAGTCCATGGGGAGAATAATCCAAGTTCACTTCTTTGTGAAAACAGGATGGATATTTTTCACCAATGGATGCAGCCAGCAATGTAGGTAGAAACCATATAGATGTTGACCCACTCTTTGCAGTGAAGATATCTCCATGTGTCAACCACTAGAAAGCAAACCAAACTGCAAAATCAATCTCTTGACTATTTTGCATGGGACAATCATCCAATGAAAAAATGGAGTGCTTCACTAGCAGCTCTCCAAAATTTGAAGAGCTTAGGCTAGAAAAGCTGAGTTGTGTGTTGATGATTTCACGCTTGTGGAACAAAGTGAGAATGAGAACAATGAGCTAAAGTTGAATGATAGCAAGATGTTTGTGTGGGGTAGAAGAAAATGCTTGACAATTTAGTCAAAATATTATTATTTCTGATGATGCGTGTTTTAGATTCCTGAAATGCCATAAATTATTTCCACGTCTCTTTGTAGGAAGATAAAGTTCTTGCCCCACATCTTAGATCACAGTTCAGCAAGATATTTAAGCATGTCACTAACTTTATGCAGATGATCAAAAGCATCCAATTGTTTTCCATTTGCTGAACCAGAACCTGCAAATACACATGCAGAGATGTTGTTCCACTGAACTCAAATGAAAAGTAATTGCATGAATTTGTGTTGGCAGGGTTGGGACTGCATAAGCAATGGTATTTAGCTCTTACAGTATATTTTTCTTACAGTAAATTTCTAAGTGATTTGCAGAGTAGGTCAGTATCATTCCCATTCTATGGAAACAGAGAAAAGCACTTTTTTCTAAGCAGATCATTGGCAGAGCCAGGATTAGATCCCATGTTTTCTGAACAGCAGAACAATGAACTACCTTCAAGGTCATGCAACTTTCTTTTATGCTTAAATAACTTCAGTTGTATTGCCCCTTACTTTTTATGGTGGTCAGATGAACTACTGTAGTAAAAACAGAAAGTGCAGGCAGAAAATGGCATGCAAGAAATATGAAAAGAGTAAGGCTCAATTGTTACTTGAATGTATATACCTAAGTTTTCTTGTGAGGCTTGATCCAAAGAATGACTCCCTACTAAACATGACATTACTGTAAAGTGAAGAAAAGTTATTAAGATGAGACGTTAATGATTACCCATGAAAAGCTCTATGAAAAAGAATGGGAACAGCCTTTCATTTGTAGTTAATGTAGTGTGCAGATCAGAGTGGCTTTCTCCTCCTTCCTGTTTTGGGTAAATGTATTAAGAAGAAATGCTGACAGTGAAATTTTCCACCTTGCAAAGTATAATTTTATTTTCTCTATGTTGTTACTATTGGCAATACAAAAATGCACCACATTATATGCAGTCTTTCATACTCACATAATAGGAATGATTAGTTCTGATTCTGTCACTTTAAAAAAAAAAAAAATCAAACCAACTTTCCAAAGGCAGAGAAATATTATTTGTCTTGTAAAGATACGAAACAGGGATAGATTACTTTTCTGCAATGACACAATAATAGATCTAGGAAAGAATATGCTCTCCTGTTATCTAGTTTCACAGTTGGTGCCGATTAGGAGCAAAGCCCTAGGAGAAAGTTCAAAATCCTTAGCTAAAGTGCCTGTACATACAAGTCTCGAAGTTTAGACACTAGCTGAAATCAGTGGAACAGCTGCTAAGCAACTGCTGAAAAACCAGGCCCACAATTCATCCCTCAAACATAAGACATAAAAAATTCGTTCAAAACAAACTATATGTTCAAGCAAAGGCCCAGCTTAAATGTCAGTCAGGCACCTAAATGCTGAATCATTTGCTGCATTCCAGAAGAAATGAGCATTAATATCTCTTTCTCATAAATCTTCCTTATTGGGAGCCGAACAGATAACAAGGCTTTGCAATACATGCAGAAGAGCAATTTCTATCTGAGATTTCATGAGTTGGTAGGTTTAGGCACTGATTAAGGAAGAAAATGGTAGTGATGCCTCTGGTGTGAAATCAGTAAACTCCCCATCAGTGAGCCATGAATAGCACAGCCCCAGTTTGTCCTGGTTTGGGGGACTATACAGGGCATGTAAGGAAAATGCTATTCTTAACAGAGCAGCATCATGTGTATCACTTCCCTTCACTGCCTACAGGACCCAGCCTACTGTCTAGTTCAAGTGTATTCCAATGTGCTCTTCACCATGTCTCACATCTTCACAGTTTTAGTTTAGAGGGAGCTTCTACAAAGCCTTAGGCTGCTGCCAAACTTTAATCGGCTTTCTACTATCACAAGTCCTTCCCAGCAGCCTTGCCTTGGGATCCAACTTCTCAAATGAACTCTTCCACTCTATTGTCTCCCCTGTGTTTTTCCCAAAAGGTCTGAGAACAAGTATCTGCATCTAGCTGTGACTTTGTCATGATGCCAGGTCCTGCTTCCCAGGAGAGGTGCAGATTTCAAGGAGGATCTGTCACAGTTCAACTCTACTACTGTGGAGTTCCCAAAGAGCTTTTGCACCACTGAATAGAAAACCTGCCACTTAAAGCGCTGCACATCCTCAAATTTTCACAGCCAGGACTCATTTTTAGTTTATTAACTAGTTACATTTTCTGACTCTTCTGGGAAAGCTTTGGACCAATTATCTCTATCAACTGTTGCTCAGATAATGCAGTTTATTACTACAACTTTTCCATAAGTACTTACTTAACTGATGCAAGAACCTGGACACTGAGTGCACTTATGGGCTGTTATCTCCAGTGGGACTGCATTCCCTTATTACTCACTTATTTCAGTACAGCCTTAAACACAAGATGCAGTGAAGTATGAGTAATACTTTCTATACTAAATCGCTGTAGGAAAAAGAGGATTTTTTTTTTTTAAATTATCTGGTCTGTAAATAAGAGTTTTATGAGAGATGGGAGGTGGGACTGTCAAAACAACTGGGTTTTATAGCTCAGTCCCATGTCTACTGAAGTCAGTGGATGTTCCCACAAGCACCATAATTTTTCTGTTTACCTGAAGGGTTTCCAATCCTTCTCGTTGAATGCCTATTTCCATAAACATATTCCTGTTAACAGGAAAGCTTTAATGCAGGTTGACTAATGATTTTGCTGAAGGTTATTACCTTCATGTGTAACAACATAAAATCAAGATCTAGCCAGCTAGAATGAGGGGCCTTGGGATTATAGCTTTAAAGATTTTGAGCTGTGAGCCATACTTTTCAGTTTTTAATCCAGTATATCAACATAAAATGACTACTTCTACTGGCCTGAAAGATCCAGTAACACAGAAGCTCTCCACAAACTGTTCTATCGCTGCAGGTGCAGGAGTTTCTCTAGTGGGGCCATGACTAACAGCAAACTGCAGCAATCATTCACTTCCCTAATTTTAATCTGCTGCTGCATCTGAGTCAGAATATGTTTTAACTCAAGGTACGGACTTACATAGTAAAAAGGGTTTCAGCTCCTAAGCTCTTTCCTATATATTAAAGGCCAAAATTCAGCTCCTGCCAACCCTGGAGATGGCTAAAATCTCTAGACATCTACATTAATGCAGCTGAGCTTGCTCATGACTGCTTAGCCTGGGCAGTGCCATGGATGTATGGTACTTAAGGTTGATGAGGGTTCACAAACTGGGTAACTCCCAGGTACTCTGTGAAGAGGAACAGGTTAGCTCATGATGATGGCAAGAGGAGGGGGAAGTCATCTTTTCCCAGTAATTCAGCACTACAGCACTTGCCTGTATTGTAAGAAAACATACACTAGGTTTTTCTTCTCTGTTAAAGGAGGTTTGAACCCCAAAAATTCATAGGAGAACAGCAAGTATGCATCTGTTTTTTTCAGCTTCCTTTATTGAAGCTGTCATGTGTTGCATGAAATGTTGAAAAACAGAAAGAAAAAAACCTTTTCATCAGGGCAGGGACTTAAAACCAGGCCTAACCTTTTTTTGAAAACCTCAGTTTTCAAATTTTGCTACAATTCTTGGTCTTTTTCTCTGTGCTGTAAATGGGGATGAAAATGAAAATATCTTCAACACGAGTCTGTGGAACTATTTATCCTTTAATTACTATTGACTTTCATTGTGGGTGATCCATGGATAGCACTTTAGCATTAAGTATTTCACTTTTTTGACCTAAGAAGTCTTATTATTTTATGTGCTTTTCAATCTGCAACTTAGCTAGAGGTGGTTATAGATACTTACAGTTGCGACCTTGCAGGCTGACTGACAACGACTGCTGTGTTGTAGTCTTCAGTGACTGCCTAGCATTAAGGTCAATGATTCCTTCATTCTGTTTGCTTGTAAATTCCCCAAAGTCACTGGGAGCTTTCCCATCACTTTCAGCAGGGGTGGGACCAAGGCCTCAAACCTAAGGTAGCTTTTTTAGAACTGCCAGATGGACTATCCTGCTGATCCATCTTTGTATTTATCGTCAAGAAATCTTTGCATATGATAAATGTAGACTTGATCTCTTACACTCCAACACTGCTCTGTGCAGGACTGTTGAGCAATAACATGAAGCAGAACTTTAAATTCACTCCAGAGCAACCTGGGTGCTAAACCCTGGCTCTATGGCATGGTTCAGGAGAAATCTAGACCATGATTAATCATAATGAACAATAAAGCTGTTTACATACAATTAGCAAGCAACACTGCAGTTGTATGATTTACATTTTAGCTGTGTTGTTAAACGGGGAAAAAAGCAAGCAATTAGGAAATGGATTGGTTAATAATTTTTAATGACTACCTATGGTGTTAGTAGCATGTTTTGGTTAACAGCTTATGAATCCACAAAGAAACATTTAACCTGCATCCTCCAATAATTGTATTAAAACAAGGCTATAATAATGGCAGCTACGTACCTGGCAGTACCATCCAATTGCTCTTTCCTTTTATAGAAGAGAGGAAGCATTACAAGAAAGCAAGGAGAGAATAATTACATCATAAATTCAGAGTTTTTTAAACAGAAATTTCTCATCTATTGCTAATGGTTTATACCTCTTTTGTTCTGTGATTATAACTGACAGCAGAATAAAAGCTACGTTTTCAGCTAGCCATAAAGCAAAGAAAGTGATATCGGTTCCTGAAACCAATCTGTGCTGCTTAGACTGGCAATCTAGTCTTTGGTGAGAAGTGAACTCCCTTGCCCTCTCTCCCAGGACCTTATTTGCAAAACACCTATCAAATTTCAGGTTGCATTTGAATCACAAAAGAACCTACATACAAGCTTGAAGAGTCTAGACCCCAGGCAAGCCTGAGAATTATTCTCTGAACAAAACCTGAGGTCAAGAAACCCTCTAGAAATGACTCTGCAATGGATAATGTGGGAATAGATACAGAGTGAGAAGGGATAAAGGAATGTGCTCAGCCCTAAATGAACACTGTGGTGTTTATTCTTAGAGATTTCCTGTCTGACCTAAGTGAAATCAATCCTAAAGAAATATATTGTAAATTAAAAAGAGAAAGAGGTAATGTCTGTAATTTACCCTTTGTGAAGGCAGGAGCCTGAAATGTTTCTTCAAGTCAGTTTTAAGCAACAGCTAGAGCTGCAGTATTAGCACAGTGAGCACAACTTGCATGTGGAGACCTCTGAGTTGAGCAGTAGTTTAACGCTACATTTTTGACAGAATGAAGCATAACAGCAAGTCCAGAATGAAAGTTTAAATCATAAACTTGGATAAGTATTTACTATTATTAGTAGCTGATAGTCTATAGCTAAATGTCTTGGCTTTCATGGGGCCAATATTTTAACATGTTAAGAACTCAAGGTGAGGAAGGTGCCTGTTTGACAGGCAAGAAAAGTGAGATCAGACAGACTCACATCCATAAACACTCACTGTCCATTAAGTCTGAATGTCTTTATGTATGGAATGTTTTCCACTGAACTCAGAAGAGGTGATTAAAATAAAACCGTGACTCCAACTCCCCAATAGTTTACTTGTGGATGTTCAGTTAATAGAAGACAGTTTTAAACATGCTTTGGCTGTCCTCCACTGAATTATCCCCTTGAGCAACCGGTACTGTCAAAAGACAAGCATTTAACAAGCATTAATTATGTTCACATGCCATGGCCACCTCTGTGAACAACACAGTTCTAAGGCCAGTTGAGTCAAAGAGTTGGAAAAGTATGAATTTTCAGCATAGCCCATATCTCAAAATACACAATCACATCATAGAGGGTGCAAGAAGTACAGGTGCCTCTGAAATCCAGGGCTAAGTCTTTATCAGGATCAAAATTATAGAGGGAGAAATCGAGATTTCCAGGGCAATAAACTCGAGAGATTTGCAAAGGGAAGCCGACGGTGAGGCAAGCTTCTCCTTTGTTTAATGCCAACATGAGAGCCCCTGATGGAGTTATCCATGTGACCCTAATAAATCCCACCAGGGGAAGGTAGAAGAAATAGATTCAGAAGCCAAAACCCATGTTTTTCAGTCTCAGCTAGGACGTTAACTGGCAACCCTCCATTACCTACAAAAGCCTCACTGATATGTATAAGTCTATGTTTTCTGTCCTGACTTATACTTCACAGAAAATTATGATGGAGAGGTAGACAATGCACTTACCTGAAAAATGGAAATGATACAATTGATTCATAAAACCTCCAGGTAGCAACAAGATCAATCCTGTTGGGGTTAGTAGCATAGTATCTCCAAGCAGCCTGAATTACAAGGGAGAGGAAATAATCAGTGTTAGGCAAAACTATTCCCCAGGCTGACAGCAGCCAGATTGCTTCAAATAATATAACAATGCACCTGAGTCACTATCTGGAAATTAATTATTAATCAGCCATACCAAATGAGTGTCACTATTGACACTGGATTATGATCTGTGAGGACTGTTAAAAAAGACAGGACATGACAGATAAGCACCAACATCAACAAGACATTATATTTGACTAAACTGGTTTTATTCTTCTCCGTGGTATGACTAAAAGAGCTTCAAGCATTTGTCAAATATTTTTGGAAGCATTTTAGTTAGTTTACTACCTAATGTACCATCACAGGAAATTTTTCTGAGCATTTTTCTATTTCAGCGTTTAGCTCCAATGAAAATTCTCTAAGCACAAACCTAAAAAATACTGTAGATAAATTAGCTGCTAAGTGGAGATGCTTTAATTGAAAAGGTGAATTCAATTTACCACTCATGCCTGCAGCCCCTTCTGTTTGCTAAGGAGTGTCTTTAATGAGAACAACTTAATATGTCACTCAGCCTGTTTCTCCTGAGGACTGGCTTGATCCTGAGCAGTCCTGAGCATCAACACTTCCACCTGCTATCACAGAAACTGTCTGTGTCCCTCTGTGGAAATGCTGCCGTTTACTTCACTGCCAACAGGATGTGCTCCACACCTACTAAGAGTAACTCCAGTCAAGTTTGTCAGCCCCCAAACTAGTAATTTAAAGCTTAATTTTCTGAATTTGTAATAAAGGCCATAACTGAAGTCTAGGTGAGCTAAGGAGTCTCTTCCCATTGAATGCTCTGGTTGTCCAGTGACATAACAGGAGACTCAGGGTATGTGTCAGTTTTTACAAACCACACATAATATTTACATCATTTGTCTTGATTGAGACTGTCACTATCTATTATGTTACTTCTATTGCTGTTTTCACATCAGTAACAACCTAACTTTGTTTGCACATAAAAGCTCTCTCTCAAGGGAACTGAAAAAATCTGGATTTTGGAAATAATGTTTTTAACAGCTTGTTTTCTGTGATTTTGTAGCACTGATGCAGAAGTTGGTTGGTTTCCAGAAGCGAGCAGATGAAATCCTTTCTTCTAAAGACACTGTTCTGAAACAGTCTGGGAATTGAAAGATTCCCTAACAACCGCAAGGACCACTGGATTTTCTAGCTCAACGTGAAAAAACTGACTCCTTTACTAACACAGCTTTACACCTCCTGCAATGAGAAATAGAATTTGGGCAGGGGGAAAGTGGTGGCTCTTGTTAACATGATGCAGTGGTCTTCATACACAACACTTTTCCAAGAAAGGTATAAGTGGTGGCAAACCTGAATGAGTTCAGCTGCTGGCTTTCTTCTTTTCTCAAAATGTTTTTGACGATGTTGCTCCTGGACCTTCAGTGCCAGCCCTGAGCCCAAAATGCCCTGAAAGCAGAGAGTGATGCAAGATTTTAGACATTTCTAACTCAGAAAAAAATAGATTAATAATGAGAGGAAACAGGTCTGTTGGTGGAGATGCATATGGCTACGTGGGACCTTTGGGCAGTACAGCATGCCTTTCCCACTGCTCTGCTTATGAGACACAAGTCTGTCATGAACCTCTCAAGGGCCACAGGCCACACCAAATCTTTTTAAGGTCCTCAGCAGGCTTCTCAAATGTCTACTACCTTTCCAAGTTGGAGGTGTCCAGGTGGTGTATTACTTTCTGCTCAGGGTAGAGTGAAACTACTTCTGTGATAAAAGAGCTATACTAAGCATACTCTGGATTGGGGTGTGTGGGACTTCCTATCCTTTGTAAAATTTTTTCCAAGTCTCATTTTAAAGGAAAAATATCCTAAAATCTGGACTTCGGATGGTTTCTGTTGCTATTCTGTCCATCTCACCCAGACCTTGTCTCATGACCTGAGGACTTTGCAGACAAGGAAATATTTGGCCTATGCAACCCAACAGAACAAATACACTTTCAGAAGCAATTTAGAGATAATTTCTTAAGCGGTCAGTGTAGGATTCACCTGACTAGATCAAAAATACCTGTGCTGTCATCTTCTATCTAAATTCCCTTTAATCTTAGTGGGTAGAAACAGCACTTCAGTGGTGGTGTCAGAGATCTCTTCTGGGAAGGAAGGGAAATAAGTGAGATGAAATGCTCTGCATAGTTACATCAGTTATAAAGGGTGATCACTGGTCTCTGATGATCACTCAGAGGTAGATTTCTAGCTTCTAAGTGTTTAGAGCTGGGTAAGATGGCCCAACTCTAATTATTAAAACAATGCCCATATCCTTTAAAAATGCATATTGTGTGGCTATGTCAATACCAGTAAATTAACCCAAGCCAGGGTGCAGGCTCATGAACTGCCCTGTGATTTCCCAGACTGTACACTTGATGGATTAATTCTGTACTGAGGCGATGAGCACTGTCTCAGAAAATACCCACACATGGTTCAAGGAGTACCAGGGTGACATAATATTCCCAATAAGCTCTATGCAAAGTTGGGAAGAAAGGAGTTTGATTTACTGATATAGACCAGCTCAAGTGCCTGAATTACTTCTTAAAGAGGTATTTTGATTCCACTGTCAGTTTTGATCACTTTACCTTCTTTTTGCAAGTGCACAATGATGGGCTATGCCTAACAGAGGAGGGGGAAGGTACTTACTGCAGGAAGAGCAAAGAAAGACACTCCAATGAGAGAGAATGTAGCTGCAATCAGTCGTCCCTCCCAAGTTTTGGGGGTCTTGTCACCATACCCAATTGTAGCAAGGGTGATCTGTGGGCAGAATTACCAGGACTTCCCATAAGAAATACAAAGTCAACAGCTCTGCTTTAAATGTCACCATGAAACCTGAATAACTCACTTAGCTCTACAGGTGCTCACGCACAGCTTCTCGAAATACGACCTTGATGCTGGGACATGCAATTCTTTTTAATGGCATCATAGTCGAGAGGCATTGCACAGGGAGCAGATTTAGCCTTAAAGAAGCTGCATCTCTAGGATGTATTTGCTGAAAGGGAACTCCATGTGACATTTCATGCAGTGTCAGTCTCCTGCCCACCATCAGTGCAGTTAGGAATGGGGATTGCTAGTTAACAGCTTGCAGAGCTTGAACAGCCTAACAGGACTACCTCTGTCAGAAGTCCCAGTCTTTTTAAAACAAAGATGACTTTGTGAAAACTTGCTCATTTCCTGCACAATTGCTAATTTCCAATTGTGTACCCTTTCTCATCATCGAGACCCTACCTAAATGTTCAGGATATGAAAGGATATGAAAATATCCAGGTGTTCTATGCAACACTTGGGACCTTTTGATTAGGGGGGAGGTATCTTGCCATTTCTGAGTGAACTGCATTAAATAAAAAATATGCTGCTGAATTTTAGTCCAGCATGATATAGATTCCCCTAGCTATTGGTAGCAAAGCAACATGAATTCTGTCTACCAGGTGGCAGGAATATTTTGAGCAGTGGTGCAAACCGATACTCCTCTCTTCATCAGAAGAAACAAGAACAGATGTATCAAAAGTCCCTCTTGCTCAGTATCCTGCCACCAATGGCTCCTTACAGACCAAATTTCCATGACTGCCTACCTATACTGCTCAAACCTTTAATGGACTTTGCTAGCCTAGCAGAAAAGTCCATTGGATAGCTCTAGTTTTACCATTTTCTGAGAGACATGGGTCTCTATACATAGAGTCTGTCAGTGCAGTTATAACCAAAGAGATACTCTTCTAAAAGAGAAGTTTCCCAGAAGCCAGGAGCACAGACTGATTTCTGAAGAAGGTTTAAGCACCTAAGTGCCTTTGTCTGACTGAAAATCTACAGGGATATATAGGTTCTGTTAATTTGTTGTAGCAACATCCCTACTTTGGTAATGTTATACCAGTAACTTGCCTCTCAATCAAATTTAGTAGCACATATACTGTAATCCCTAACATCAATACTTTATCTCTTCTTGGATATGAAGTTTTAAAGAAGGGGATAAGGTATTTTTGGAGTCACTTACCAGCCCCCACCACAGTGCATCTGCATAGGTTTCAAACTCTTCCTTCATCTCCACCCCATTAGCATCCTTTTCAGGAACATCTTTTTCAACCAGATAAACAAGAAATGAGGATAGGATGAGCGTCAGGAACCCGATGTACCAAGCAGTGATGAGTTCCTGCAAAAGAAACAGATGGACAATCGAGGGGCTGAAAACAGTCTCAATACCCACAGCGGCAGAGTAAACGTCAGGAGAAGCAGGAAACGTGGAGGATAACAGCAGAGCTGTCACTGCTGGCTTGGTCACAGTCCCTAACCAGTCCAGCTCAGCACTTACTGGGAAATAAAGCAGACATTTACAAGAATTAGCCCTTACATAGCATCTTCCTTGGGAACATCTTGGAGCAATCTGCAGTTGTAGTTCTGCATAAATGCGTTAAGGGCGTGGCTGCACCCATGACACAGGGTGCTGCTCTGTCTCTGACCTTGACTCTTCCCATTCCTGCTGCCCATAGGCTTGGTCAGTCTTGGCAAGCAAACCAACAGCTTTACCTTCCCCCTACCTCCAGAGACCCAAGGCTGCAGGATACAGTTCCTTCTCTTCAGGTATATCAAAGGAAGTTCCACCATGAATAATGTTTTCACTATGAATTGATGCAATAAGAACAGACTTTGAAAATCATCTGTGTGAAAACAAAGCCTGAGCTTCCTTGTTTTAGAGAGAGTGACTAAAGTGGAGTGTGTGGCTAATGCCATTAAGGTGGGAGGTGCAGCAACCTAAGTCAAAATCCCAGCAACGTCTGAAAACAAGAAGAAACGTTTCTAGTAAAGGTCTTTAAAAGTGGGTAAAAAAATCAATATTCCACTTCTTTTCCTTTTCTGAGAACTGTATTTGGAAAGGAAAAAAAGCTGTAGCTAAGAATTTCATAATCAACTCTTGAGATAAGTCAACTTTCTTGGCTAATCTCTGGTGTGCAACCACAGAAAGATATTTGTTGACTAACCTTGTTATCAAAACTGTTTCTTTAGTGACTCCAGCAAAACAGTTCTCACAACGCCTCTTATCTCCCTCAGACAGCTGAGGTCCAAAGGGTAACGATGGGGAATCAAACAAGGAACATTTGAATGAAATCCCACACAATGAAGCCTTAAACAATTTCTAAACAATGACTTTGGCGTATAGACTTCTTCCATGATCTCAGTTTCCTGAGAAACATTTTTGACATAAGTGTTTATGTGCCACCTGCCTTGTAGCACGTTTAAGCAGGGAAGAAACAGAAGTTGGTATGAAATGAAGAAGGGTGGGTATCCCTATCAGCCACTACAAAGAAACAAAATCTAATTATGCCGTGCCAGCTGGCATTTTAATTTTCAAACCCCCCTAAAATGTCAGGAATGTCATTCATGGATAAGAAAAAGCAGTAAGTAGCGCAGCATATATGCAATTTTTCTACACGCTGTTCAGATGAGAAATTTCTTCTAGAGGATTTTTATGCAGATAGATTTTAACTTGTAATAATGTTTGGTGAAAATGCAAGAACACAACGTATCTGTCTGGTGTGAGACAGGATGTGTCTGAGTATAACATCAAGTTAGACCGAACTAAGATGATTTTAGAAATTTTGTCTGTTTGGGTTCACACTGTGTGCGTCTTTGTATTGTCTGACCCATGCTTCCGAAGAGAAATTATACCAGTTGCTCCCTCTGAAACCACATTTCTGCTAACCAGACTCTTTCCATCCCTTCTGAGTCCTGCTCCATCTGTTGATCAGACAAGTCTGCGAAGCCACGACAAACATGTTGCAACTACAGAGGCGTTTCTGTCAAAAGATTTCAACATACTTCACTGTAAAAGGGATGTCCCTGCTCTCATTCAGTGTAAAGGCAAAATTCCTGTTGGAATAAGTGTGGGAATGAACATTTTCTCTTATCACTTACAAGCACCTCTATTGAGTAGAGAAGGGTAAAACAAGGGGCAGAAATGGTTCAGAGAACTGAAGAGGGAATAAAGCTGAGATTGAACTACTAGACATAATCCTAAGGCATTGCTGTACCTGTGCATCCCTTCTCTTTCCCTTCAATGTCTCTCCCCGAAACCCCAGCTGAGCCCTGCAAGCTCCTCACTTACTTTGCTATGTGCACAAATGGCTGATCCCAAAAGTTTCCAAGTGCCGCCCCGCCTGTCCATTCGGAGCATCCGTAGGATCTGAAGGAAGCGGAGGCTTCTGAGAGATGTGGCCAGAACATTGCCCTGGTTCCCAACAGCAACCACTGGCACTGAAGCAATCAGCACAAAGATATCTGCAAGGCGAAAAGAACAAAGCCTGCCAACAAAAGTGGCCCCATCACCTGCTTCTTAATCCCATCTGGTTGTGCTGCAAATTTCCTTAGGCAGATTTTAAAGCTGCCTGAAAATGCTTTCTCTTGCCAATTAAACAGATATCTGCACCTGCCACACAGTCGGCATCATGCACAGAACCCACCAGAAAGCCTCGTAATCTGTTTACAGATCCATGCACTGGATTTGAGACACTGTCTGAGCTAGTTTAGGGATACACAGAAACAGTGTCCTAATGCTGACAGAAAAACAGCCTTAAATTCATCTGTCTCACAGGAACACTATAGTGAACAGGTCAGCAGATAAGAAATTCAGTTTTTGATGGTGCATCTAGTATTTTGTTCTTTTGGCTGAGTTTTCCCATTAAAATCTCAAAGCCAGTACTAATTTTTGTAGGCACTCACAGGGCCAATTTGCTCATCAGCTGAAAAGGTTTGAAATGCAAATGCAAATCACATCTCTTCTTCTTGCTTTTCTGGATTTTTTTTTTATTTCTTTTCCTTGTCTCCATTCTGCTTTTTGATCATATACATATAAAAGAAAAAAGTGGTACCAAAAGGCTTCAAACATTCTCCAGGCACTCAGTCTTTAAATTGTCTTCATATTCTATTTCCAGCCAAAAAGAGTGGCACCGGATGGATTTCAGATTTGTTCACTTTCAATCATTCTCAAAACTAACTTGTGCCAGTGACAACTAAGAAATGATATTAATAAATCCAGTGGGATCTTTTCAATTATACCCAGATATCCATGAAGATTCATTCTCAGAAGTGAGATGAGACTTTTACCAAGAAGGTATGAGACAGTATCAATCCCACTTGCTCACGCTGTGCTCTACTGCCTTCACAATGCTATTAGAAGTATAAGAAGCATTTATACAACAGTAGCACCCAAAGGAGCACTCCTAATTTGAAGATAGCACAGATGGACAAAGAAATTTTGTTCCAATTTTGTCTATCATTTAGACCCACAAGATGAACAAAAGGAGTGTGAGGGAAGAGAGTGACATGCATCCATATAACTAGCACCACTGCTCCCCAGAGTGGTATGTTCTGTACAAATAAGGAACAATAAGCTAGTGCTTGGTCTGAAGAGCATCATAATAAGTGAAGGAGCCTGGAAACAATGAATGAATGTGGATGGGCATGACAGGTGCTCAGGGCAGAGTGAGCTCCTGAATGTTGGCTGGTTGGTTTGTGGACATAATGGGGAGTTGTAGGAGGGGATTCAAAAGTGAATAATGAGTAGTTTTATGGATAGTGATAGGCAGTGCCTTCCAAGCCTGCAAGATAACATGGGTGAAATCACAAAGATACTTGTTTGCAAAAGCAGACCAACATTACAAAAGTAAAACACAACATCTGAATATGAGAGAGCTGGGAAAGACAGTATAGGGTTGGGAACTGAAGAGGTTTGAACCTGAAGGCAGACAGGGTGTATTTGGGGATGAGCTTAAGAAAAATGCAGTGGGACTCAGGACAAGGAAAATGTGTTTGAAAGGTAGAAGGATCAATTTTTTTCTCACTGACCAGCAACCCAAGTGTCTTTTGAATTAATTGTTATTGCCAGGTACTTCAAATAAATATGTCAAGCAGGACACAGCTCCTAGCACAAAGGGTAGACCTGATTTCAATGCTCTTTGCACAGCCATTCACTGCTTCTTGGACATCTCCCCAAACTAGCTTAGAAGGAAAAGGACATAATGGGGAAAATAGTAGTAGAGAGCATGTGCCTACCCAGCATGCACAAAGGCTTCCTGGCAAATTTGAGTCTCCCCCTCCATCCTTTGTAGCGACAGCAACACCCAGCAGCCCAGATTCTTAAGGCAAACTCTGCTCCAAAGATGAAAATGGCAAAAGTTTCCTGCATCAAAGACAAAAGCTACATTGTTAGACTCAACAAGTTGTGCAGTAATTCTGGACACAAGGATATAACTGAAGGAAAGAGATGAAGTGCAAGTGTTGGGGTATGTGTGTGTGTGTGTGTGTGTGTGTGAGAGAGAGAGAGAGAGAGAGAGAGAAGGAAGGTGGGGAGGACAGTATAGGTTGATGAAAGAGGCAAAACAAAGCAGGACATAGCTTTACAGCCTGTTAATTACTCTGCAGACAGGATGTGACCCTGCTGTTGGGTAAATGTGAAATGCTTACCCTGCCTTAATGGAAGGGCAGTTACTTCTCAAAAAGACCTCATTTCAGGCAAAATGAGAAAACATATGCTCTGTATACCCACACCCAGGGTTACCCACCAGCAGCTTGTTCATGCAGCTTTATCTATAGAGACAGGGACAGGATACAGTATATTCATATAGTCATAAATTTAAGGCAATTCTAAAGGCATATATAAGACAAATTTAAGGCATATATTATTCCCTTAAATTTCCAGTGCGTGGAAGAATGGGATTTTCCTCCTTGCTCAAGAACTCTTCTGAGCATGGGGAGGGAATGGGGAGGAGAGAGCTTCTCTGAGGTGCTCAGCAGAGATGGGCCAAGAGCAGCATGGAGCACGCAGTTACTTTTCCTCTCTGTGAATAGCTGACAAGGAGGAAAGGGGGATTTTTCCTGATGCTCATCCCCACAGCTGCTAAGTACTTCCAAAAACCACTGAGAACCACAGAAAAGCAAGCACAGGAGAGGGAAAAATAACCTCAGGCTTTTTCAAACGTGAAAACATGGGTCTAAGCAGGGTAACAGGGACCAAAAGCGAGTTTCACATTCCCTAGGGGACGAGGATGTTTTCATACAGGCACTTTTTGAGAAGGAACATGCAAGGGGAATTCACCTTTCATTCCTTTTGGCATTTAGTTCTTGCTCGGATCTACATGGCTCTAGGGGTACAAGGGGAAATGGAAATTGAGATCTCAGAACTACTATTGCTGTGCAATTTCCCTAAAGATGTTTTTCTACAAGGCCAGGTTAAGTAAGAGTTTGCATTCCTTATTTCATGACAGCTATCATCGAATCATGGAATGGTCTGTGTTGGAAAGGACCTTAAACATCATCTAGTTCCAACCCCCTGCCATGGGCAGGGACACCTTCCACCAGCCCAGGTTGCCCAAAGTCCTATCCAACCTGGCCTTGAACACTGCCAGGGAGGGGGCAGCCACAGCTTCTCTGGGCAGCTTGTTCCAGTGCCTCCTCACCCTCACAGTAAAGAATTTCTTCCTTACATCTAATCTAAATCTACCAGCTTTCAGTTTAAAGTCATAACCTCTTGTCCTGTCTATCACTACACACCCTTGTAAAAAGTCCCTCTCCAGCTTTCTTGTAGGCCCCCTTTAGGCTCCCTATGGGAGCAGAGGAAGTTCTTTGTAGGGTCATTTTCATAAAATGATTAATATGTCATGTGTATATTCAATAAGGGGTTTTTTCCTATTTTTTTCTTCTGCCAAATGGAAGCCCTACACAAATACAGTCTTGAGCATGAACTCCAGTATTTATAAAACAAGCATGCTGGAACACAGAGAAAGTAATATATTTGTTGCAAATACCTTTTCTTTCATGGATAGTCATCAGAGGCACTGCCTGCAACAATTTCATTTATGCTGCTATTTGGCTTAAGCAGGAGTTGAATTCTGATGACTCCCCTTGAAAGAAATGTTGGGATTGGTAGAATGCTGTAGAATGAATCAAAAACATTGAAATATTAAAAAAAAAAAAAAGTTTTTTCAAATGTCCTCTGATCTGGCATGATCAGTAGAATATTTATTGACATTTCAATGGGAGCTGTTAAGCAAATGCTGAAAAGTCATTATTTAAAAGTCTCAGGCTAGTATTTTTCCTCTCTCCTCACTTCCCTTTGACTCAATCGGTGCTGACAATGGACTAGGGACTCTCCAGTATGTAACTCTATGGTCACTGCTCCCAGACCAAGAGAATAAATCTTATTGCATGCAGATCTGGGAGTAAGTTTCCATCACTGCTGACGGAGCTGATTTCAATTCAAGGACATTACCAGGGTGATGCAGCAGCCAGTCTACTTACCAGCAAGAGAAGCCAGTCTCCAGAAACAGTTTCATACTCTTTGAAAGTTGTCAGGACAGCTAAGATCAAACACCCCAAGACAATCAGAAACCTGGAATGAAGAAAAAATGAAAAACCACAGCATTGTTAGCCCTCTCTGTGTTCATATTGGAGATGTTGCCTATAAAAAAACTGTCTGGAGACCTTTAGGGGGTGGCTACTTCCCACTGGTGAGCAGTGAGGTGAGCTCTCATGAAGAGCAAGGGTGCTCAGCCTGGGTAGGGCAGGGCCTTAATTCAAGAAATTAGGGCAAGATCCTAAATCAGAATGGGCCCGGAACAGACATGCAGTAATTAATGCGTTTGCACTCTTCGGGAAGGAAATGGATGATACTGCATTTTTGGAAGGATTTTATGGTATGACAGAGGACTGTAATGCTCAGGACGTCTATTCCAAGCTGATGTGCTGTGCGCTTCACAAAATGACACTGCAGTTACAGTGAAATAAATCCACTTGGCACATCCCGAGACTTGAGAAACAGTAAATGCTTCAATATAATGCAGCACCAGGACAAACCCTCCCTTGAAAACTGCACTGCACTTCCGTTTTCTTTCCCTGTTTGCACTCATTTCTATGCAGATGAAAAGATTAAAAGGTTTGAAACAGAAACAATAGAGGGGGAAAGTTTTGCTCTCCAATAAACACAGTGCATGATAAATCACTGTCCCTGTGCTATTATCTGTCCATGAGGCTCCAGAACACAGAGATTTGACAGAAAATTCAACTCCCACTGCTGGTAAATCAAATTCAGTCCAATCTAAAGTCACGTTGATCTGCTTTGTAAAACTGTTCCCAGGTTCAAGCTTTTCAAAATCTTTTATACTTAAAGAAGTAAGGAAAATCAAGGCAGTCTCGTAAGTGATTACTGTGAAGCCGAGTGGGGGAAGCTCATCTTCTAGTACTTCATGTACCCAGAACATTGACATTATAATGTGCTCCCAAAACGTGATCCACAGGAACAGAGGGACAGGTGTCCATGAAAACGTTTCAGAGTTGAGTAAATAAATTGAAAGGATGTCTTAATAAAGACTCTGGGTCCCTTGTTTTCATAGCTAGGGTACATCAAAGAAATGATAGGCATTAGGCACTGAAATCATCCAGGGAAAAAAAGCTTGTTAAGAATCAAATTGTGTTTAATGTGTGTTTACTTCCTCTTTTGAATTTCAATCGGATACCTAAAATGTGATTTTATTTCTTGCTGAATAAAACTCCACTTTGTTCTTTGTTTCACTGGGTAAAATGAGCAGAGTCCATAGCCTGCAGTGTGGAGTCAGCAAGCAAGGACCATGGGGAAGGGAAGCTCAGCTCAGAGACACGTGTCCTCTAACCTGTCTTGGGGCTTTGTTTTCTTCATGTGCAGGGAAACCTGGGGCTAAGGGAGCGTGTTCTGAGAATCTGCAGCATGTTTGCAGCTGGAGTGAAAGGAGAGGTGAGCTCCAGATAGCTCCTGCTGCCTTTTGGGAAGGCATTTCCTCCAAACAGCATCAACTAGCAACCCCCGTGCAAGAAACAGGCAACTGTGAAACACTTGACAGCAAACCCTGAAGGATTACTTTGCTGAGACTTTCCTAACATTTCCTATTCAGACTGAAATTTCCCATGCCAGGAAAATTTCAGATCAGCCATTTTGAACAAGGTTGGAACAAAAATAAATGTGTTTGCTCATGCTAAATAATTCTGAATTTCTTTGACAAGTTTCACCTTCTCCCACTCACCAGTCATGCTCCAGAGCAAGGGCTAAGTGCTTGGTAGGAAACAGCCCTTGGGTCCAGAATGTGTCTTTTACCATTTATCAATAATAACCATCTCCTGCTGCCCAAGGCATTCAGCAGTTAACAGCGATTTTGTGATGTTCCTGCCATGTCCTCAAGCTTGCTTTGTCACACCATACCTTGCTGTCCCCCATCTTGTACTTATGAAGCCACTGTCTTCCCAAGACCCACTATCCAGCTACACAGCACCTCTACAATCAAACTGGTGTGAACTTAACCGAGACAACATGATTCCTTCGATTAGCTATAAACTACCTATGATCTGCCACGTTACAGCTATTACAGTGGTACCATTTAAATCCTTGAGCTGATGCTACCTGATGCTTTCCATTACAGCCATTTTTTGATACCGTGTGAAAATTCGGTAACCTATCAGCTCACAAGTATCATTTAAATGATTTAATGAAAGGCAAAACACACTGAAAAAAGTCCAAGGAAATTACATCATCAGCTACCTAAAATAAAGGCGTGAATTCACAATATCATTCAACAGAACAGCACTGTCAGATAAAGATGATGTGCAGATTTTTGTCGAAGAGGAAGACAGAAGATAAATTAGTAGTGAAATCCTCAACTTTTGCCTAAAATGCCTGCGGTTTTACCACTAGAGGGTATCAGTGCTCCATAGAGCAAGGGGATACTGCTTTCGCTTCTGGTTTTCTCCCCCATGAGACAAAAGTGCAGGTGATGTTCAGGTGATGGCACCCATGTATTTGATATGCAAGAAAAGGCGTCTCACAGCGGTGACAAGGTTTCTCCTTGGTCACTAAACCCCACAAATGTTGTCATTAATGGACAGGGGGTGCTGCTTGCTCGATCACAGCCCATGCTTCAAGCTCTACTGATCCAAGTGTGAGCCCATCCATGAGAACAACAGAACACACGGGACAAAAAAATAAAAGTGAAAATAGGATGAGAGGGTGAGACTGAATTTCACAAGTCACCATGAATAATTTTGACGGCAAATCTAAGCAAGGAATGTGGTCTGAACACCCAGTTGCAGGAAGTGCATTAATGCAGCTCAGAAGAGTGCCTTGGAGGTGCAACTGCTGAGCACGAACCATAGTCCCCAAAACCACACAGACCACAGAGTAAGGGTCCTGCACCTTTCTGCAGTAGTCTGGGGTGTGCAGGGACAAAAAGCCTGTGTTGGGTCACATAACTGCAATCCATCTTGGAAGGCTCAGCTATCCTCCTACTGCACTGTTTCCAAAGGATAAACACCCACTGCAAGTTAATGAAATCACATCTCAGCAATCTTCCTTTAGCATCCAAAACGATGACCGGGTTCAGAGCACTTCATGAATTTTAATCTCCATTGATGCTGTGCAACCCACTGATTTCCCTGCAGCTCTTCTGTTTTGGATCTTGGTGCTTATGAAGCCTGCATCTCTTCTTGTGTCCTCTTTCTATGGAAGGTGCTACACAGGTGTCATGCTTTTTTCATCAATCCCCCTTGCTCAGCAAAGATGATAACAAGGTACATCTTCACCTTGCTGCCTGTGCCTGTATTGTGGCCTTGCAAACACAAAGACTTAAATTGCTTGACAGTTTCTGAGTCTATTGTCTGATAGCAATAGGACAACAGCTGAGTCTACATTGTTTAATTTCATCTTTTTGAGGCAGCAGTGTGGGTCCAGTGGTTGAGCCTGACTATAAAATCATAACAGGCAAATTGCGCTTAAAGAAACTGCTGAAATCCCAATGGATGAGCAGAGGGGAGACTAACATCAATCTGGGGAATCAAGGGGAAGAGAGGGAGAAGGTCTCAAATTTACTCAGTTATAATGACACTATCCATGGGCCATAGAGCATCAAGGGTTAGAAGAAAGAAATAAGGTAAAAGTCAAGGTTTAGTAATGCAAATAGAGCCCTATTAAGCCTAAACTTCCTACTGAACAGTGTTTCAGCAGGTGGCAGTCCAGATTTTAAGAACATAAACCAGATATGCCAAATGAGGAACTGAATTTTGTTCCTCGGTTTTTAGAATCGTCCTTCCTATCATTTCATATCATTTTTCACAGCCCATTACATTGTACCTATTTGCAGTGTTATGGCAAAAATCCTGATTAGTTTGTTGTATGTATAAGTTCCAGACCACCAAATGTCAGTGCTCTTTTGTCACTGTCACAGCTAATAGACTTTTCTAGTAAATAAATGTTCTTGTTACTGGAAATCACATGTTTAACACTCATACTTTATAATTGTACTATTTTGGTGTATTAAAGACAGTATTCCAAAACCAATATATATTTTTTCAGGGAAAGAAGAAGTAATTTATGACTATGCTAGACCACAAATCTAATGTTTCTTGGATGAACATTAGAGACTGTTTTGTTTGTCAATTTTTTATTTCTTTTAATATTTCACATTCTTTGAATTTTTGTTCTATATCTGCTTTCATTTGAAGTGAATATAATGCAGATCTTGCTGAGAAGCTTTATATTTTTTCCATATATAGGTGCTCATCATGTGTCCTGTTCACCATTTTTTGCTTTAAAACTTCAGGAGCAGATCACATAGCAATTTGCCTATAATCTCTTCCAAAACATAGCAGTCCTTTTGAAGCTGTCAAGAGGACTAGGCATAGGCACGGCTTGTCATAGGCAGGCCAAACGATATTTGCATCTGGCATAATTTTGGCAAATTTTTGTCTCGTGTGGCAAAATTTTAAGCCCAAAGAAGACTTATAGTTAATACAGAAGAACATATGCTTCTAATGTACAACTCATGTTGTTTTAAAGGAGACAGCTCAAGCTGGTCAGAAGCACCTACAGAGACAATTTCTTCTCTGTAATGGTAAGGAAATATTCTAGTGACTAGCTCCTATGGAGGTGTTTACTCTGTAAATTACCTGAATGCCACCCCTTACGTTCAGCCCTGTTTTGGATACAATTGCAAGCACCACCTTTTAATAATGTTTATATATTTTTACTACTGAAAGAATTAGTCTACCAGCCATCAGCCCACTTCTTACATGACCAGATTTCTCTGAAATATTTTGCTGTAACTTAGGTATCACATCTACATCTACGTGTGGTTGAGGATCCTGCTTACAAAATACTAATCCAGGCTCTGGGCAGGAAAGCCTCTTGAACAGTTACTAGTAAGAAATCCTCTCCAGTGCGACAGTGCATAGACTTCTGTTTGCTCTCACATCTTCAATCACATTTTTTACAAGCCATTGGAATTTAATCTGTCTCCAAATGTTCTTATGAATCTTAGATTTTTCTGCTTTGCTTCATTTGGTTCTTTCCTGTTTTCCCTTAAAACTTGTGCT